CTTAGTTAGGGCACGTTGCTATTTGATTTTATTTTGATTTGGAATTGACTGCTTTGAACCATTAATGTTGGCATTGGAAATAGTGATCACTGGTAGGAACGGAGGAAAGAGACACGCGGTATTGAAAAATGCCCTTTTTTTCTTGGCTTTAAACGATGTTTCTTTAAAGACGAATTTGTGCAAAATCTCTGTTATCAGGAGTTATATGAACGATGGCTTACGTACGGACATTTTCCTGAGGTATCGGCCGGAAACGATCGCCTGCTCTTGTATACATCTCGCTGCAAGAACTATACGAGTATGTTTCACACAGTTTTTCTTCGGGCTCTGTGATTGTTTTCAGCACCATTTCTGTTCAGAAGTTTCCGCCTTGCAAGATTTTGTATATCATAATATTTCCTACAAAGCTTCACATAAGTTTGCTTTTGCATTTACCAAGAGCAAAATTGCTTCTTGTCCCGTGTGGGCTATGAATTTTGCTTTTATTACAGGAGCCAGTACCACTCCCACGAGAGCCATTCCCATGGTTCGAGGCTTTTGGCGCGAGTGACAGGGATGTACAGGCGATCTCTCTTCTTCTTCTGCGTGTTTATGCCAGAACACGGGTAGGTCCTGTTTTGGTGGAAATATTGAATGAACTTTGCATTATCGAGCCATCTTTTTTCCAGCGGATATTTAAATTTTCGCTTTATTGAAGCCATTTTTTTTAGCCGCCTAACTGGGTGCGTTTGAACGATACAGTAAAGAAGCTACGTGCTACCTTAAACACTGTGATAACAAAAGCGCAGCAGGCAGAAGCCGTTGCTAATAAAGAGGTGGAGCGGGCAAAAGCTATCTTGGACAAGAAACGTCGTGAAATTGCCAAGAAAACGGGTGAGACTGAACAGCGACAGAATGGTGAGGCAAAGAATAAATTAAAGGAAGATCGATGTCCAGTGAAAAACACGAAGGATAAGTTGAAGGAAGGTTGGTACTTATTGGATGATTTCATAATTTTACTCATTTGACCAAAGTTAGAAAT